GGTGTCATAGCGTTTAGTAAGAATGAATCTCATAGCTCGGTTTTGTTGTTTCTGCAATTTATAAATCTGACTATCTCTCATTATGAAAAATATATACAGTGACTCTTAAGAAAAAAAATGGTTTTTCATAAAATTTTTGGAAAATGTGCTTGGGACCGCCCACATGTATCATATATGCGTATCTCAAAAACTACTTGACCGATCTCGACCAAATTTGATATGCACATTGAGCTAGGCCTCCTTAAGCACCGATTTTTTTTGAAATCAGACAAAAACCACGTACTCCACCCACATAGCGGTAATTTTAAAAAACTCAAGGCTAGCTATATATCAGGGGGAGTAATGTTTGTTATAAAATCGAATGGAAAATAGTCAAGCTATTAATAGATAAGTGCATCAAGTACGAAAATAACGGCTAAACAAAATTGAAGGGTTCAGGAACTATACGGGACCTACTTACAGGTTGAACTCGACCATACCTACAACCTACACTAGGTTTTGTTTCGGGTGTATTTCATGACTTCTTTTTTGTAGCACCGTGTAATCTGTATATTAGGGCTGTGCGATTATTCGATTACTCAAGCAAGTTGGTTAATCAAGATTTTGATTACTCAAAACGATGATTAATCGAGTTAAATAAAATATGATTACTCAAAAAAATGAATTTTGCTCGTTAAAAGAGTTTGCTTTGGAAAATGCTTATCCTTTTTACAATCTGTATGAGAAAAAAAATTTTATTTTAATTTTTGCAAACAGAAATGTTGTTTTCGAAGTATCAAGGAACTTCAACTACTTTATATTTAAAGGGTACTTTGAAATGTTGATTACTCATTTTACTCATAGTGTTAATTAATCATAAAGCAAATTACTTAAATATTTTTGTTTTTGGTTAATTATATTTTTTAAGCTTAATCTGTTTTGTCATCCGAGGGGACTTTTTTCAAAAAGTTCTTTAAGAAATTATTTTTATTCGTAAGAACCTCCATTTTTTGGAGGAAGTTTCAAATCGGTCCAGCTCACGTAAATCTTAATATTTTTCCGAAATATTTTGGTGGGCGTCTTAAAATATAATAAATTTTGTAATCCCGGCTGAAAAAACGCAGCTTTTTTGGTGATGCAGTCTAATGTATATGTAGTCTGAGCCAGCGAAGAATCCGGAAATGGATTTCTGAAAGAAAAGTGCATAGAAAAGTGCCACGCATGGTTGGGAAACGAATGCTTTTCCGTTTGGTTTTCTGAAATTTTGCATTCTGAACTTCACATATGCTTTTTCATAGTTAATTATATTCAGCAATTAAATATATTTTTGTGAATACTTTTTAAATATGTTCGTCTGCCGGCATACAAACCTGGGACCTCATGAAAGCTTACAAATAACCGCACGCTTCTCTACACACTCAACTATTGCCGAATATGTACATGTTTTCAAATGTTCAGTTTGAACAAATATTTTGAAATTATTGTTTTCAAATAACGTGATATTTTTCGAAAGTTTTTCGGTTACGAATATTAAATTACTTTTAAAAATTTAACCAAAATAGAAAAATACAAAGCTTCACAAGCACAAACAATTTAACAAAATGGCAATACCGCTCAACAATATTTGTATATTCGTCACTGGCATTTGTCATCAAGTGGCAAATCAAATATTTGGTAATTTGCGTGATTTTTATTTGGCTTATGTAGCAGCATTGCGTTCATATGATTTGGCCACCAGAGTTATTTTTGATTTGCCACAAGTAGGAAAATATTTGACTTTTCTAATAAATGGCAAATGAAATTTAGCGTTCACACGGTTTGTCTATGAATTTGACAAATTTTTTAGCAAAATGTGTAAATCGTGTGATCCCAGCTTAATAAGCTGATTTATCCACCATTTTGCACAATAAAAACAAATCTATTTCGGTACAAATATTAACATGAAAGAACTTTTTAACTTCCATTAACATTCTTGGGAATCAAATAAGGATATTTTATAAATACAATACAACCCTCTTCATCTAAATTTAATAATAAATTGATCATTTGCATTCTAAGGAGAACACACCTTTTACTAAAATTTTGAATCGCTATATCTTAGAAATAGTAGTTCTTAGGAGCAAAAGTGTCAACAGTTTTTATAGAGAATTGTATAATCTACATTATGGTACGCCTTAAAGTTTGGCTGAAAAAGCAAAAAACCAGTTTATGCGACCTTTGAACAACAGTTTTTATAAAGAATTGTATAATCTACATTATGATACGCCTTACAGTTTGGCTGAAAAAGCAAAAAACCAATTTTTGCGACCTTTGAATATTTTTTTCAAATATGGGATGGATGGGGTAATTTTACATTTTAGATTTACAGATTTATTCCGAAAAAATTGTTGATATGTTTTATTACACTAATATTATAGATTTTGAAATTAGAAACACGATTCCACTGTTTGTAAATTGAAAAAAAATAAAAAAATATTTGAACACCTTAATTAAAAAAATGCATTATTTATTGCTTTTTTTATTCACATGCAGCTGTACATCATTTTCAAAATTTTATATCACTCGGACAACAAGTACGTTTTAGTACTATTCAACATCCTTAATTTGAGCCATGGAAGAAATTTTAAGTCCCTCTGACGTCCAAGTTATAACGATTTTTGACCAAATTTCAAAATTTCTGTACGAGTTTTTACTCAAAGGGCCTGGAGACTTCTACCTTGGCTCAAATTAAAGGTTTTGAATATCACTAAAACGCACTTGTTGTTAGAATGAGATAAAGTGTGTGAAGGATGCACAACTGCAAGCAAATCATAAAAAATGCAATATAGAATGCGCTTTTCAAATGCAGGGGTACACATTGGCAGGCAAAACCATTTTGTTTCATATCAAAACGTTGCGGTGTGAAAGCGGTGCGATTAATTCGCATGGAGTGCTCAAAAAGCACACTGCGCGGCGGTCGCCCCTCGCCAGGCTATGGCAAACCCCCGAATTTATTTCTGCCATGAAAAAGCTTCTCATAAAATCCATTATTTTATTCAGAGACGGTGGAAAGCTGTAGGTCCCTCCATTTACTATTCAATTGTAAAGCTAAAATTAACATCAGTGACGACAGTTAAGTCTCATAGCGCTTTCTTTTCTCAAAATAACTTTTGCCCTTTTATATGGGAACTCTTGCTTTACGTTGCTCTGAAACCTGAGAAAATGTTCCGTTCTTCATATGAGAATGAAACAGGAAATATGGCACTCCATAAGAATTTCATTTATAGAACTTATTAAAACTGAATTATTCACTTGCACTGTAAGTCTTTTATTAATTTCATAGGAAAACACTTATTTCTGATACGGAAAATAATTTTATTTTTACAAGCGCAAATTAAAAATCAACCGTGCAACTTTCACCCTCACGTTTATTTGAGGGCAGAAAAGGCAGGACTTTTGCCGGATCTTAGCGCAACCTACTGAGAAAAGAGCACGACGCCCTGTGAAAAGGCTAAGAAGGGAACATGAAAATTTTACAGGTTTTTAAAAACCGTTAGATGCATCGAAATTGTTCGTCGCATTTTGCGCAAATATTATCGTATAACTGCTTGGATTTTTCCAAATTAGACCAGATTTTTAATTATAAGATAACAACTGTTCGATTTACAAGAAAATTACTCTAAGGCACGGTGCACATTAGAGCGATACGATATGCGATACGATACGCGATAAGATATGAAAGCGACATCGTCATGCGCGCAGTGCACATTAGAGCGATACCATATGCGGTGTGATAGCAAACCGTGTCGCCGTCGTGCATGTATGCATAGTTTTCATTACTCCCTACCAATTCCCACGTACTTTGTATGTCGATGTCGCTTTCGTGTCGTATCGCGTATCGTGTCGCTCTAATGTGCACCGTCCCTAAAAGAAATGAACTTAAATACTTGTTTGTTTCTTAAAAAATGCACTTTTTTCGCAGTAGGTGTAAACAAAAGTGTACCGCACCATGTTTTTCACATTTGTGGTGACGGAAAATAGTGCTTTCAGAATTTCAGCAACCAAAAATTTTGTAAAATTCGCATTAATTCGCAAACGAAAACTAATCTGAAAAACGGACAGTATTTCGGAAATCGCCATTTTTAATATACCGCAAAAAATATCCGTAAAAAAATCTTGTCCACCTAACTTGTCCTGCACGGTAAACTGTGAGACTTTAAAATTTTATGAACTTTGGTTTGTTTTTACAGCGTGGCGACGAATAGCTGTTACCCCGGTTTTTTGAGAAATAAAAGGGTCCTTTATAGATTTTGCGAAAAAAGTATTTTATTGTTAATTTTTCACAGATTTTACTTTAGTTGTATTAATTATTTTTTAAATTTTAATCTTTATTTACATTTGTCAGTAGTTTAAAACTTTGAGAGAAAAGTTCATTTGGCACGCAAGTCTTTTTCAGGTGTATTTTTCTTAGGCTATGTATAAAAAAATACAAAAAAAGACAAAAAACTGTATAAGGTTGGTCGAATGAATGGCCGTCCTAATCACCAGTTCCGAGATTATTCGATTTTTGAGTATGATGCCTTATGTTGGACAAAAGGGGGAGTATAAGGGACTAAAAATGAAGAAAATTAGCTTATGGTTACAGAAGATATGGATTAAATTAACTGACGAAGACCTGCGTGCCAAATGAACTTTTCTGTCAAAGTTTACGCTGCTGGCAAATGTAAATAAGGATTAGAATTTAAAAACTAATTAATACAACTAAAGTAAAATCTGTGGAAAATTAACAATAAATTACTTTTTTCGCAAAATCTATAAAGGACCCTTTTATTTCTCAAAAAAACCTGAGTAACAGTTATTCGTCGCCACGCTGTATATTAAAATTACAAGTATTCAAACAATAAACTCCTCCAATAAAGAATAAAATTAGTTAACTGTTAGCAAACATTTGATATTTAAAACTTGCGAAAATTAGCATCCTAAAGTTTCTGTTTAAATTATTTTCTTCTTTAACCTTCGATATTTTCGTTTTTCTATTTATAGATATCCCATCAAAAAACTAAAATAAACAATGAACATTTTTAAGCTTACTTTTAAAGTATCATAAAAATTCGACACGAAATCCGTATTACATTGACTCTTAAACAATACAACTGCAAATTGTGTAACTTGATTGGATCATCTTCCAGCTGCTATATTCGGAGCGTCAGCAAAGTATTGCATACATTTTGAAGAGATTTAAAGTCAAAAGGATCTGGTAAAGAAGCTTCTAATATATATATTGGATCGAACAAAATTTACTCCAGACGCCGCAACCAACCACACCCACGCTTTTGAAAATACGTTTAAAACACATTTTTCACTTCTTAGAAATGGGTAATAACGCAACTACATCTAATAAGAAAGTAGACGCTGCTGAGACGGTGAAAGAGTTTCTTGAGCAAGCAAAAGAAGAATTTGAAGATAAGTGGCGTCGAAACCCCACTAATACTGCATGTTTGGATGATTTTGAGCGTATTAAGACCTTAGGTACTGGTTCTTTTGGGCGTGTTATGATCGTCCAGCACAAACCAACAAAAGACTATTACGCTATGAAGATTCTTGATAAACAAAAAGTTGTTAAACTTAAACAGGTGGAGCATACCTTAAATGAAAAACGCATTCTCCAAGCTATTCAGTTTCCGTTCCTGGTTTCTCTTCGTTACCACTTTAAAGATAACTCCAATTTGTATATGGTATTGGAATACGTTCCAGGAGGAGAAATGTTTTCGCATTTACGTAAAGTGGGTCGTTTTTCAGAGCCCCATTCTAGATTCTACGCTGCACAAATTGTACTTGCTTTTGAATACCTTCACTATCTTGATCTGATTTATCGAGATCTTAAACCGGAGAACTTATTGATTGATTCACAAGGATATCTTAAAGTCACTGACTTTGGATTTGCTAAACGCGTTAAGGGACGCACATGGACTTTGTGTGGCACACCTGAATATTTGGCACCGGAGATTATATTATCCAAAGGCTACAACAAAGCTGTCGACTGGTGGGCTCTTGGAGTGCTGGTGTATGAAATGGCTGCTGGCTATCCACCATTTTTTGCAGACCAACCGATTCAAATATATGAAAAAATCGTCTCGGGAAAAGTGCGATTTCCTTCTCATTTTGGTTCCGACTTGAAGGACTTGTTACGTAATCTATTGCAAGTTGATTTAACAAAGCGTTACGGCAATTTAAAAGCAGGTGTCAATGATATTAAAAACCAAAAGTGGTTTGCCTCTACGGACTGGATTGCTATATTTCAGAAAAAAGTTGAAGCACCATTTATTCCCCGGTGTAAAGGTCCTGGCGATACTAGTAACTTTGATGACTATGAGGAAGAAGCGCTTCGAATTTCTAGCACTGAAAAGTGTGCAAAGGAGTTTGCTGAGTTCTAATTGTAATACAGTTTTTACATACTGACGAGTATGAACAAAATTATATACATATTGACCTAACAATTTAAAAAGTAAGAAATATACTTTATACATACTTACGCTGGACATGTTTTATTTCATGTTCCGGGTAGTTCATCTGAGTTCTGCATACTACTTAACAATTACTTTAAAACAATGATTTAAAAAAGTTAGAAATAAACACTTCAAAAATGAACAGCAAACGATAGGATCCTCAATAGTTAAAAACACTTAAAAGACAATGTCTCAGTGTATCTCCAGTGCGAAACAGAACATCCAAAGCGTGGTTAATTAAAAGGAATATAGGCATAAACTAAGGAAACAACGTATGCTTGGTGACGTATTTTAGTTGCTGTATCCGGAATCAAGATTAAAATATATTATATCGTCAGATGTTTGGAGCTATCGTATGTGAATACTTGGATACTACTACGAACGAAAAAGTATGTATAAAATGCATATTATATTTAGATTATTCTTTTAAATGGAAAACTTTCTCGTCTAAAGTCTTGTTCCCTGAAATTTTGACACAATTGTCAATTAAAAGCTTTTCCAGCTTAAGGGAATACGTATATATTTTTTAATTAAGGACTGCGTCGAGTACAAAGTTTATATTTTGGGTAAGTTGTCAGATTTGCAAAAACTAAAGCGTTTTAGTTGGCTGGTTGGAGCTACTTCGGCCGTTGAAATAAAAAGCGAAAATAAATTTTCCTTCTCCCTCCTCACGTTTCAGTGATTCCCGAGCCTTCTTCAGGGAGTCTGTATTTGAACAATAATGCCATGTTCGGACTTAGATCGAAAACATGTTTTCGTTGCTAAAACTGTTTTTCGACCTAAAACTTGTGTGTTTCGTCCATACGGTTACCCGACATACTGATTTTAGCAGTACAATACTGATTTTTCAACTCTTGTACTGATTTTATATATTTCTTCAATCAGTACGCTAATGTCCTGATTTTTCAAAATTTTTACTGTTTTGTGCTAGATTTTCAATTCAAACAAAATACTTTACTATTTTCTTACGGGTTTTACATAACGTTGAAATTTCCTTAAACTGTACTGTAAAAAGTAAGAAAAAATAGTTTAATTATAGTTAACATGTTTCAGATAATGTTTGATATGCCCAAGACATTAATACAACAAAAATATCAAATGTTTTATGGGCATATCGCCGGGTCGTTAGTAGGGATGTCAATTTTCGGGTTTTATCGATCCCGGGATTTTCGGGATCTGAAAATACAATCCCGGGATCCCGGGATTGTCCCGAAATTCAGGTAAAAGTGCAACACATCTGTGATCATCCTATTATAGTATTTTAAATCAGATTGATATAACAAAAAAAAGTACAATTTATTTTAATTCATTTACATATTTATTAAGGCGATAAATCAGTATTTTCAATCAACAAAAAACAAACATAAAATTTGACAAACATATATGTATGTATGTACATATCCTCATTAAGTTATAACATGGTTTTTGTACTACAAGTACAAATGCATATACGGTCACTCCCAGAAATATTTTGCATAGATTTTTTTTTGCAATATTCAGAATATTTTTCATGGTATTTTTTTTTTTGTTAAAAAAATATATACGTATGTGCAATTTTGAAGTTGCTAAAACATCCCGTTGACATTTTATATATTTTTTTTTTTGCCACAAAAACATTCGTTATAAGGAAGAAAATGCCCAACATCGTCAGTAAAAAAAATTAAAAAATCAAGGGAGTTTTTAGCAACTTTACACTTTATTGAATTAAATTGAATGGGCTATAAAACTGCATAATAGAATTTTTTGTAAAAATTATGATTAAAATGTTTGATATTTTTATGATAATTTGGTGAACTTAAACCAACTTTCTCTAAAGTATGAAATTTTGATTTACATGATTTTTGTTGTAAACTGAGCTATATATTTTTTTAATTAACATAAAAATACCATGAAAAATATTTTGAATATTGCAAAAAAATCGATGCAAAATATTTTTGTAAGTGACTGTATTTGGTACAGCAGTAACTGCCTATGTAACTATATAAAATTTTTTAAATCACTGTTTGAGATCAATTTAAGATATTATTTAATTTAATTTAATTTATTTAATATTAGATTGAAAACATTAGTGCATTAAGATGTAATCTTTACTTGCACAATGATACAAACAAATTGCAAAAAATAAAATAAAAAGTACAGATAATAATTAATATTACAATATAGATTAAGGTAATGTATACGTTGAATTACAAATCATATATTCTAAAATAAAACAAAACAAAGGTAAGCTTATAACCACTATTCTTGATCGCGCTTGGAAGAAAAAAAGTTAAATATGAGTTTTTTGTAGTTGCCTATGTGCAACGCGTTCTTCAAGGACAGTGGAAGGGAGTTCCAGAGCCTTACCGCATTAATAAAAAACAGTCTTGAAGTGCATAAATAGTTAAATCTCGGACGAATAAGACCTGACGAACGTGTACTCTTGGAGAACTTAAGTTTATTGTACAGATATCCGGGCTCTTCGTGAAAAATAATTTGAACATAAAAATGCAATTACGCGCGTTCAGAAAATTTTGTAAATCACAGCCAAGTATAGACTCACGCATAGATGAGAGATGATCGTATTTCTTTAAACCAAATACATACCTTGTGGCAGAGTTAATGGCGATATTCAATTTTTGGAGTGAATGAGAGTCTAATTTGCCGTAGACGATTTCAAAGTACGTGATATAAGGAACAATTAAACTTGTAATTAACTTTTTCTTAGTGGCTACCGGTACATAAGGTGAAGTTAATCTAAGACATCGTAGAGTAAAAAATATTTTACTCACAACTTCATTAACATGATCATCACACGCAAGTCTAGAGTTAATAACGAAACCCAAATTCCCGGCTTTGTCAACTAATTTAAGTTGGTTGGCACACCAATAAATAAGGTGGGAATATCCGATGCCAAAAATTTATCTTTAGCGNACCGTAGACGATTTGAAAGTACGTGATATAAGGAACAATTAAACTTGTAATTAACTTTCTTAGTGGCTACAGGTACATAAGGTGAAGTTACTCTAATACATCGTAGAGTAAAAAATATTTTACTCACAACTTCATTAACATGATCATCACACGCAAGTATAGAGTTAATAACGAAACCCAAATTCCCGGCTTTGTCAACTAATTTAAGCTAGTTGGCACCAATAAATAATGCCAAAAATTTATCTTTAGCGACAGGTATTACACAAGATTTTTGAGCATTGAGGCAAAGTAAATTCTCCCTAGACCATGCTAATATTGAGCTTAAGTCCTCGTTAAGTTGGTGACAAATATCCTGAATCGATCCAATTTTATTAGAAACATACAGCTGCACATCATCGGCATAAGCGTGTAAGCGCACATGAGTGTAGGTGTTGAAAATGTCATTTGTGAAAATGCTAAATAAAAGGGGGCCCAGTATGGATCCCTGAGGGACACCAGAGTATATATGCGCGAGGTTAGAACAATTATTGCCGATTTTCACCTTTTGAAACCTGTCGCTCAAATAGCGCTCTATGAGTTTTACTGCAGTTTTGCTGAAGCTGAAATACTTAGCTAGATTTCCACACAATAAATTGTGGTTTACAGAATCAAAAGCCTTAGAAAAATCAAGCAGACAAAGTAGTGTTAAATGGCCTTGATCGAATGGCTGACGCCAGATGAATGTACGTAACCAATAGTTATTCAAGACACGAACCATCATATCGGTATAGACACGAATTGACATAGCCACTATGAAAACGGCCACACTGATATACGATAAAAGAATCGGTGATGACCACGAGGCTAGACAGATTTTTCCTTTTCTTTTTGGAATTCGACACAGAGCGAACCACACTCATCAGCCCTCGCAAGAACGGAATTACAACCAAGTAATTAAAGGGATTAAAAGCTGGTATTAAAAGCCTGCGACATTCGGGGAGTCGATACTCACCCTTCAGTGGAAATTAATAGAGACAAAAGGTGCCGTCACATTCCTTCCGGCAAATCCCCAGCCATGTTGTTGCGTATAATAAAGAAGTTGTGAGCATCAAATCCGGACTATTCATTTCACAGCAATTGAGTCACCATAAGCCGGTAATACAAAATCATTACACGTAAGTCAGCCACTTTTTTGCCACCATCCATTGGAAACGAGCTATCCATCAACCGTAAATAAAGATTCCTGTTTGGACCGACAAACCAAGGTCAAGCAAATCATTGGCGCCCAACTAAACGGGTGAAAAAGAATAAATTTTCGTTGAACATAACCACACTTAAGCCCGGCATAAAATAATCGCGTGGTCAGCTGAGGGAATATAGCAATTTCATCATCGAATCAATTTAATACATCATAAAATTAGATTTAAGGAAAAATTAAAATCTTTTAGTCGTTTTTCTCATTTTGTTGGTCACAAAATTGTACGTCGGTGAACCAAACACATCCGAGTTTAATAGATTTTTGATAAATTTTTTCTTTTAGAAATTTCGCTATTATAAATCATCATTGAGATTGAATCAAATAATTATCTTTTGAATTCATAATCACTGTAAATCAATATCGTCCTCAGTCTTCCCACGGCATGATTTAATTGATTTTTATTGGAGCTCGTTTTCAATCAAAATTTTTGTGGATATATTGATCAGCAGTCATAACCAATCTCGTTCAGTTCAGTTCGCCAATTCGGAAAAGCAAGCTACTTGAATTTTTTTAATCAAGTAACACCACACATCGGCGGTCAAGATTTTTGAACCGATAATTTTTCATTTCGTCTTTCGGTATAAGTTTAAGCAACGTAATTGAACCAAACTATTAATTTTTCTTTATGTTTTTTTGTAATTTCTTTGGGTATTCATTCCCAATAAAATTTGAAACTCGTATCAAAGTAATCTCGTTTAAGATTCTCAAACTGGTTGAGTATTCTCAGTCTGATTTGGTCTTCCGGTAAATTCAGGGGTGGATAGTCTTGATCTTTGTTGCGTACCTCGTTGGCGACAGAAGGGACCGAAGGAGATACAGGTAATACTCCCAAGTATTCAAGGCCTTCGCTACATCCCGGGAGCAAACCCGAGTCGGCGTCACGCCAGGCAGATCTGATCGGAAAATTTCAGTCGAAGATTCGTGAGCTTCGGATGTCTTCAACGAATACGGGAATCCCGACGTGCGATCCGCAATTAAGTTTGAACTCGACCTTCCATGGTTTTGAGAACGAACGGGGAACGATGAGTTCAACTCAAAATACTGTTCCATCACAATATTTACCCTTAACCATACCAGATTCGATTCCAAACCAGAATATACCGACTTCGGTTCAGGCAACTGAACCACGGTATACCCTGACCACCAGTACGGTTAATTCAAATGCTCAACCAGCCGTTCTCAATTCAGTGTCAGGCGGAACGGAACCAACACCCTCATTACACCAACTGTCT